CGAGGACAGAGCAGTCAAAATCGCCTCTTAGAGCCCTCTTGGGCCTCTTTCGGGGGATCTTGGGATCCTCTCGGGGCTATCTAGGGGGGGTTCGGGACCTTCTTGGAGCCTCGTCCCCTGGGAGCCTAGGAGGGCCTCTTGGGGTTTTGGGGGCCATCGATCAAGAACGGGTGGGGGGGCTCCCCAACATTGCCCCCCCCCCACCCCCTGTGGCTATCAGAATCGCCAGTTGGGGCTCTTTTGGGCCGCTCTTGGGGCGCATTCTTGGTGCCTTCTGGGATGGCTCTTGCGCCCCTCTTGGGCCTCTGATGGGCCATCTTGGAGCCATCTTGAAGCCTCAAAAGCGAAGCGAAAGCGAAACGGCGAGAACGTACAAGCCATCGGTTGTCCTATGTGTTTCGCGTCGGTGTTTGCATTGTTGGTGCAGTTGGAACCGTCTTGTGGCCTTCGTCGGGCCTCTTGGAGGTATGCTGGAAGCTATATTGGACCATCTTCGACTATCTTGAGCCGCCTTGTTTGCCGTCTTGGAGCATCGGAGGCCATTGTGGAGCCATCTTCGGCCATTTTGGGCGCTCGCCTCCCTCCGCACCCCCCGTCCAGACCCTGGGAGGGGTGGGAGGGGAGGTACAACTCCCCGAAGGGAAGAATGTTTTCGACGAGAGAAGAAAGAACTCGCTAAACCACCTTAGCCCAAGGGGCTGGTGAGATTAGCGTTTCCCGTTTGCTTCTCGGGCTCTCTTGGGGCGCTGTTGGAGCCGTCGTGGTTGGTGAGACCTTTTAGAGACCTTTTTGGGTCCTCTCGGAGCCATCTTGAGGCATCGGGAGACCATCGGAAGCGAACGAGCGAGACGGCCAACATCCTTGATTGCCCCTAGGTTTTGAAAGGAGTTTGTCCTCTTGGAGCCAACTTGGGCTACGAGGGGCCCTCTTGGAGCCATCGTGCGCTAGCGCTCTGAATGCCCGCGACCCCTCCCGTCCAGACCTAGGGGTACGGGGCAGGGGAGGGGGGCTAGCCACCCCCCCGAAGGACGGCCGCCTCGCTCACTCCCACCGCGCCCGTCCAACACATGAGCAGCACCCGAGTCTCACCATGGGCAGGGGCCGCATCGACAATCATCGGGAACCATCGCAGACGCCAGCCAGGTCCGCGACGCCCGCGAGGTGCGCCGCGCGTGCCAGGGTACCTTTCATATCCTCGTCGTCAGCACCGACGCCAGCTCCGACGCCAGACCCGACACTGGCTTCCACTCCGGCGCCGACGCCAACGCCTACAGCAGCAACGTCGCCAGCACCAACGCCTGCGCCTACGCCGGTACCCACGCCCGCGCCTGCGCCCGCACCGGCGCCTGCGCCTACGCCAGCATCTGCGCCAGCGCCCACGCCAGCTCCGACGCCAGCAGCGCTGCGGGCACCTACGCCTGCACCAACGCCATCGCTTACCTCAGCGCCGACGCCAGCACCTGCGCTGGTCCCAGCGCTGGCCCCGAAGCCAGCACCGACGCCTGCGCCAACGACGGCAAACACGCCAGCGCCTAAACCAATACCGACGCCAGCTCCAACGCCTGCGCTGGCACCAACGCCAGCACATACGATGGCATCGACTCCAGCACCAACGCTTGCGCCTACGCCGGTCCCAACGCCAGCGCCAACACCGTCGACGCCAGCACCAACGCCAGTTCCTACGCTTGCGCCTACGATGGCGCCACCATCGGCATCGACTTCAGCACCAGCTCCTGCGCCTACGCCGGGAACGACGCCAGCACCGACGCCAACAACGACATGGGCTTCCGCCTGCGCCTACGCCGGCACCAACGCCAGCGCCTACGCTCTCGACGCCAGCACCAACGCCAGTTCCAACGCCCGGCCCTATGTTGGCGTCCGCAGTGACACCGAAGTCAGCACCATCGCTGGCGCCTGCGCCAGCACCATCGTCAGCGCCTGCACCAGCACCGACGCTTGCACCGACGCCAGGCCAGCACCGACACTGGCTTCCACGTCGGCGCCCACGCCAGCGCCTGCCTGCAGCAGCACCGTCGCCAGCACCAACGCCTGCGCCTACGCTGGCACCCGGCACGGGCCTACGCCAGCACCGACGCCAGCACCCGCTCCTGCGCCTGGGCCGACACCTGCGCCAGCGCGTACGCCAGCTCATAGGCCAGCAACGCCGTGGGCACTACCAACGCCATCGCTTACATCAGCACCGACGCCAGCGCCTACGCTGGTCTCAACGCCAGCGTCGAAGCCAGCACCGACGCTTGCGCCAACGACGGCACCATCGCCGGCGTCTAGACCAGCACCGTCGCCAGCTCCAACGCCTGTGCCAGCATCAACGCCAGCGCATACGATGGCATCGACTCCAGCACCAACGCTTGCGCCTACGCCGGCCCCAACGCCAGCGCCTACACCGTCGACGCCAGCACCAACGCCAGTTCCAACGCCTGCGCCTACGCCAACGCCATCATCGGCACCGACTTCAGCACCAGCTCCTGCGCCTATGCCGGCACCAACGTCAGCGCCTGCACCAGCACCGTCGCCAGCACCGACGCCAGCACCGACATTGGCGCCCACTCTGGCGCCGACGCCAACGCCTACAGCAGCACCGCCGCCAGCACCAACGCCTGTGCCTACGCCGGCACCAACGCCGACGCCCACAGCAGCTCCGACGCCAGCACCGACGCCAGCACCAAAGCGGGCGCCTTTGCCAGCACCAACGCCAACGCCTACGCCGGCACTAACACTTGCGCGTGCACCAGCACCGACGCCGGGACCAAGGCTTACGCCGACGCCGGCGCCTACACCGGCGCCTTTGCTTATGAGGAACCCTGGGGCGGACAGACCCTGCCCCACCGACATCTGCGTCCAGACCTTTACGCCCCCTTGTCCACATCGAAAAGTGTGAGATCGATTATGCAGGGACTCAGGGGCTGCCCTTACAACATCGTACCCGAAAACAGACGAGCTCCTGCAGACGCGCCATCTCTGATGATGGCCAGGCCTACAGCTCCAGCACCCCCTCCGACCGTCACTCCAACGCCGGCCCCGACTCCAGCTCTGATGCCAGCTTCGTGCCTCGCCCCAGCAGTCGCTCCAACGCTGGAGCCATCGAGCGAGCCGATCTCCAGCAGACACGCCGATAATTGCTCCGACTCTCGCTCAACTGGCTGATGCAGCACTGCGGCCACATGCACCGGCACATCCAATGGTGTGATCATTGCGTCGAGTATGAGCGGGGCCAGCGGGACGACGTTGGTGACGACCACAGGCCCGTGCAGCGCAATGGATACAGACAGCAATATAGTCATCGGCGTGTCCAGCTTGACGCGCAGTGGGCACCTCTGCCAATGCGGGCCCCGACTTTCGATTCCATGTCCGACTCCAGCTCCGTCTCCAGCTCCTGCTCCCACTCCGTTTCTGATTCCGACTCCAGGTCCTGCTCCATTTCCGCCTCCGACTCCAGCTCCGACCCTTTCGTCGCCAGCCTCGACCCCAGCGGTGCCTCCAACCTTGGCCTACCCTTCCGACACCGGCTCTGGCATCAACTCCATCTCCGACTCCTGCTCCACGCGTGCCGCACCATTGGGATCAACATGGACCAAGCGTGCCAGACCACTGGGGCCATCATGGGCCGCAGGGCGTGCCGCGCCATGAGCCAGGGGTGCGTCAGTTCCGACGTCCGAGGTCACAGGGGCGCCATCAACACTTTTACTGCGTCTACTTCTTCATCTGAACGGCCTTATGCATGTCTTGGGGGCTTGGCCTGGAGTTCCATGGATGGCCAGCGCTCCTCGCCTCCCCCGTGTTGCCTCCCTCTTCCTCTCGTCGCCTTTCTTCGGTAGTTTTCTGTAGGCACGCCCGGCCCACAGGCGTGCACACCCTGTCCTTCCCGCCCCTGCACTGCAGGGTTCGAGCAGGCACTGTAACGCATGCCTTGCCATAGCCAACAAAACCTCTTACTTTTCTCACTGCCCTGCCCTTTTAGAACGCTCCCGCGCATGGGAACCTGTGCGAACACCTGCTAATGGCTGGCCTGCGCACGCGCGAGATTTTCACTCTTTCCCCCCCCCTCTCTTCCCGTTTTCTTCCTCCTCCCCCTTCTCCTCCTCCTCCTCCTCCTCCTTCTCCTCCTCCTCCTCCTCTTCCTCCTCCTCCTCCTCCTCCCCTCCGCTCGTTTGGGACAGTTGTGCGTGTGTCGTAGGCTATGCTCTGGTTGTGCTGTGAGTTCGCGAGCTCTGTGGTTTTCATCCTCCCTCCTCCCCTAGCGCCGCGCCAAGGCCGAGCCGCTCCGTCCAGCGAGTTCTGTCGCCCCAACGCTGCCCCCCTCCAAATCTTGCATACGTCGCGCTGCCCAACTCGCGCGGTCTTTCCAGGAGGCGTTCCACAAGCCTTCCCCGCCCGCGGCATCCGCGATTCCCGCCGCTGTTGCGGCAGGGCATCTATCGGTGTGCCAGTCGATACCGCCGCGGGACCGCCATCCTCCCCAGCCGCTCCATAACCATTCACTCTCGTCGGCCCATGTCGATGGCCTGAGCGCCACGGTGTTGGCGGGCAAGCCCGCGGACGAGGGTTGAGTCGAGCCAGTAACTACTGACGATGCGATCGGATGGGGCCGAGGAACTCATGGGATCCGGATGGCGAGTGCGACCAGGATGACAGTGTGATATGGATGACGAATTGCGAAGGTGATCAGGATGGCGCGTGACGAATGTGAGCTGACTGACGAGATGATGAGGAGCACGGCGGATGACGTTACCGCCGTGATTTCGATATGGTGTGACAGTTTGGCCTGATGTGTTCTGATGATATCGACGACGATGACCAGAACGGGGACGAATGACGGGAAGGATGAGGTGAAGCCAATGTAGCAAAGGCCGGCCGTTTCCGGCATGGGGGGAGAAAGGCAAGGAACGAGATCTTTCTGTTACGGGGAAAAGGACATCAGATTTTGTCATTGAATTTGGCGGCGGCGATGAGAGGAGGTGGATCTGCAGGAGGAGGGCAAGGTCGACGGGAACAACCCCGCCTTCCACACCCTCGTGAGGCTCGGCGGCGCGCAGAAGGTGGTGGCGCAAGGGGGGTGGCCTTTTCTTTGTACCGCAGTCCAACATTCCTCTGAGAAGCCAAGCCTTCTGATAACCCACCTTGCCTCCTTAGAAGGCCGCCCTGCCTCGCCCTGCCTCCCAACCCCAGTCAGCTCAGAACTTGTCCCCGGACCCGGACGGGGCCCACCCTGAACAATTTCCCGACATGCGCCATGCCGTGGCGACGAGGCCCCCACGAAGACCAGACGTTTAGGAAAACGGGGAGACCGAAGACCAGAGTAAACCCAAGATGCGTCAACGATGCTGCAGTACGCCGTCCTGTCGCATTACCTACCCCAAACAAAATCCATGCAAACATACCTGATCACTACGGGAAACATCCCCGCGCCATGGGCCTACAGGATAGAGCCCTGCACTCTCATACACAGCCCCCGCGGTTGTGCACAAGAGTACGGGGCTGGGGGGCCCGTCGGCTGTCCTCCAGGCTCGAGAGTAAATTTGAAGAAGCCCGTCGCAGGTGCCGACTCTGTAAACACATTGCGAAACAACGAGCCCGCCGCAGGCGCCGATTTTGTCAAAACGGTGTGAGTGGGCGGGTCGCGGGTGAGTCGCGGGTGGGTGGCGGATTGGTCGCGGGTGGTTCGCGGACTGGTCTCGGGTGGGCTGCGGGTGGGTTGCGGCTGGGTCGCAGCGCGGGTGGTTCGCGGGGCCGGTGGGTCGCGGGTGGGTCGCGACGCGGTGAGTGGGTCTCGGGTGGGTCGCGGCGCGGCTGGTGGGTCTCGGATGGGTCGCGGCGCGGGTGGGTCACGGGCGGGTCACGGGGCGTATCGTAGGGCGACGACGACACTACGAACGGCAATCCGCACCGCGGAACCCTTTCACAGCCACGCGCTCAGGGACCGTGGAATATCGCTCGGCCCCTCACTCTGATCTGGAAGGAATGTGAAGGTGTAGGGCCGCAGAATTGCGTGAGTCCCCAAGCGAGGGCACAGTTGTGAAAATGAGCAGCCCGCCATCCGCGCTGCTGTTGTCGGATGTCACGCATCGTGTGCTACATGTAGACGAAGTCTGAAATGACAGACGCAGATTGAAAAGAGACGCATGGTGAACAGAGACGTCCTCCATCCTATTCGGCGTGGCAAGGTCGCACACATCGGGTGAGATTGTTTTGCAGAAGTTGCAGGCGAGATCACCATGTACACAGTGACATGCCCTCTAAACTTGCGACGGTTAGAAGTTCAACGGCCGAGTGCGCGAGGCTACGGCGAGAGCCACATTTCGAAAACGCCTCGCCCTCCGTCCTCGGGGTAGGCGCAACATTTTCATACCACATCCGCCGCAAGTGCGGATAGGAGTTAGGGGTTGCTGTGGTCTCGGCGCGACGTGCTGTGAACTGAAGGCGCCGACTTTCTAGATTTTGAGCATGCATATTTCTGCGCAGCCAAGATCCGCGCTACCAGTGGGCCCCCACGACGCCGCGGTCCCCCGCGGATGGGTTACCGAAACAAGCTAAAAAAACCAGCATTCAATGAAGAGCCCGCCGCAGGCGCCGATTTCAGCGTTGCCGCATCCCTGCAGCCCCGCGGCAACGGGCCCCCACGACGCCGCGGGCCCCCCAGACGGGTCACTGGAAAATGTTGAATTGAACATTGAATGAAGCAGCCCGCCGCAATGCGCCGATTTTGTATTTTTCAACACTGCAAGTCCGCGAAGCCAAGGCCAACGCCACCCATGGGCGCCGCGGCGACGGGCCACCACGACGCCGCGGGCCCCCCAAGAGGGGGCCCACGTGCCCCCTCTTCTGGCCCCCACACGACCAGCGCCACCCGCGTGGGCCCCGCGGCGACGGGCCCGGGCCCCCGCGACGCCGCGGGCCCCACCGCGGGGGCCCCCCGGGCCCTTCCCCCGGGCCCCCACACGTGCGCGTAGCTCCCCCCGGCCGGTCCCCGCCAGGCCCCCCCACGAGGTGGAAAGAAGAAGAAGAAGAAGAAGAAGAAGAAGAAGAAGAAGAAAACACACACAAATTAGCATAACTGATAAGATAAACGCGACGACGCTTGCCTACCCCGAAGCAGCCAACGCGCGCACGACGTGAAATGGATGCGCGTGCGCGGAAACCCTTCTATCCGACGAAGGTGTGCGGCGTTCAGGCGGCAGCCGCATTTTGAAAACCACCCGCCATCCGTCCACCTGTGGAGCTGTTGGAAATATCGAGCTTCTGGATGGCAAGCGAAATAGAAGGATGTCTCATGCGAAACGCCCGTGCTGCCGTAACGACACGCGTGCTGGTGCGACGAGGAGTATCATTTTTTCTTCCGCTCTATCACTCTCTCTCTCTCTCTATTTCCCCTTCCGTCTGTACATGTATGGACGACTTAGCATCGTGAAGCGATGAGGGAACGGGCACGCGGCCGCACCGTATGTTGCACAACCGCGGCCGACTTGCTCAAGCTCCGAGGCCCCACGGGCTTCCGCTCGCCTCCGTGCATGGACATGGACCCAAGGGGGCTGGGTTGTGCAGGAGGCGGCCAGGGGGTTCGCCGTGGGCGCGGCGGCGTGGGGCGCGGCCTGGGGCTCGCAGTGCCCAGCCTGCCCCGTGCCCGCGCCGTGCCCGGCCTGCGTCTGCCAGTGCGAACCCAGGCTGGTCTGCCCAAGCGGCGGCCACGCCGAGGCCCCCGCGCCGGGCTTGCTGGCCGCGGGCCGGGCCTGGCTGGGCAGCCTGGCCTGCACGGCAGCGGCGGCCTGGGCCTGCGCGCGGCGGCGCGGCTCCACGGCGGTCGGGCCCAGCCCGCCAGTGGCCTGGCATGGCGGGCCAGCGGCGCTGGCAGGCGGCGGCCCCGCCACCTGCCCGAGGTCGCTGCTGCGCAGGTGGCGGCGCGGCGGGCGGCCAAGCTCCAGCCGACGCAGTGAGATGACCATCGCCCCCGCAGCCCACCTCCTGGCCCAGGCGGGGCTGCAGGAGGGCGACTTCCTACTCGCGAAATACGCAGGGTTCCCGGACGTGTGGCACGAGCGGCTGATCGTTCTGGTTCCAGACGGCGCAGGCCAGGTGTGCACGCTGACCCCCGACGACGACAGCTACGAGGAGGACCTCTTCGCGCCAGCGGAGGTCCGCCGATGGCTGCCATGTGACGGGGGCCGCATGGGCGCCTACCCGGCGGCCGTCGTGGGTGGCCACGTGCATGGCTTCCGCGGCGTCCCAGCCCCAGCGAGGGTCGCGCAGGTGCTCGCGGCGGCAGCGGCACGGATGGGCTTCGCGCTGACGCCGGGCGTGTCCGTGGTGCCCAACCTCGTGGGCGCCGGGGCTGGCCCGCGGCCGCGGCCTGGCGCCCGGGCTGCCGCCCCCCTGGCCGCGGCCGCGGCGGTGGCGGCCCCTGGGATGGCTTCTGCGGCGGCGGCCCCCCCGGGCCTGCTGGTGGCTGCGCCGCCTGCGGCTGGGGCGGCGGGAGTGGCTCCCGGGGGCGGCGGTGGCGTCGCGGGCCTGGCTGCTGCCCTGGCGCTTCCGCCCGCGGGTGCCGCCGCGGCGGCCCCGCCTGCGGGCCCCCCTCCGCCTCTCGTCGGGGCTGCCGCGGCCGCCGCGCCTGCGGCCGCGGCCGCCAGGCTGTTGCTCTCCTGGATGCGCGGACCCAGCCGGTCTCGTACGACCTCCAAGGGATCCAAGGGCAGCGGCACGCCGATTTCCGCACGGCGGCGACTGGGGTCCCAGGACGGCGCTGTGGGTCCTCAAGTTCATGGAGGCTCACGGCGGCACGCCGACAGGTCGCCACTCGAGATGGATGTCGGAGACCAGGCTGCAGGGCCATGAGCCCAGAGTGGACGAGCATGAGAGGGCGTGCCGCACGCTGGAGCGCATGGTGGTGCACGATCAGTTGAACGTGGCTAACCTAGCCTGCGGGGAGATGCTGGGACGGTGCAGCTGCAGGAGGAGCCTAATTATACCGTGATCGGCTGGCGCCGGCAGTTGACTCGAGCATGGAGTCGCACCTGCTGCTCGGCTCGGACCAGCTGCATGAGAACGCGTGCGTGGCGCCAGCCTTGCAGGACCACTGCCGGGACGAGCTGGCCAAGACGAACGTCTACAGGAAGGAACAACGCAATGCCAGAGAGGAGCGCGACTTGGCCCGCCAGGCTAAGAAGGGGCCAAAGGGCGACAAGACCTCTGGCAAGGGTGACAGTTGACCTCGGAGCGGGGGGGTGGAGATGGGCGCCCACCCCGCCAACCTGCCCACTGGCCTGCCCAGTTCCCGCTGAAGGGCCTCCTCTTTCTCGTCATCCCCAGGGTGCTGGAGAAAAGCAGCGGGAACGGGACCTGTTTCCGCTTCCCTATCTCGGCGCTCGTGCTGATGACCCTAGTTTTGTGCGCAGCAGTCGCGGTCAGCGTCGAGAACGCGGTGCTCCGTCGTGGCTGGACTGGGCAAACGACGCCGCTGACGTCGTGAATTCTGCGCGTGCTACTGGGGCCCAGCCGTCGGCCGTAGGAGTATCTGAAGGCCAGCGGGCGCCCCTCGAGCACATCCAGACCGCATTCACCAGCCTGGCCCCGCTGGCTGCTGGTGAACGTTTTCCCGATGGAGCTCTTGCTGATATCCTCTCTGGGTCTCCGCTCTAAAGCGCTGGAGGCCCGCGCCGGCCCTGCTCGCGGGGCCTGATCTCGTGGCCCGACGTCGGCGACGACCCCGCGCCGCTCGCGAGCGTCGTCGCTGGCCCGGACGCTCAGCGGCTTAGGGCTTGGAGCTCGAGCATGCTGCGTGACTGGGGCATGGCGGGCGCCCTCCTGCAACAGGTCTGCCCTCGCAGGCCGCGCGTGGGCCCGGGCCTCTCGTTCTCGCCGGCGACCTACGCCGATTTCCTTGCTCTGATGTCGAAGCGCAAGATGGTCTGCTTCCAAGCCGAGGACCCCAGCATTAGGCCAGTTGGGGCCTTTTGCGCGGCGAAGAAGGGCGATCGTCTGAGCTTGATTTTTGTCACTCGCACTGTTAACCCGTATTTCGTGGACCCGCCTGCCACCGCCCCTCCGAGCGCCGCGGCCTTCGCCGACATGGAGGCGCCGGGCGGCAGAGTGGTCATCGCCGCGGGCGATGTCGACAATGCTTCCTACCGCCCGCGGATGCCGGAGGGCCTGGGCAGCTACTTCAGGCTGCCGTCGATCGACGGGCGGCACCTCGAGGCTCGTGGCATCTCGGGGCTCCCGATCGGGAGGCGCCCGCAGGCCTGTCGTCGCGCTGCCGATGGGCTTCTCGTGGGCGCCCCACCTCTGCCAGTTGGCCTTGCGCGCGGCCGTCGCGCGCGCTCGCGTGCCCGGGCGCCTCATCACCGGGGGCGGGCTCCCTGGCGTCGTCCTGGGGCCTGGCGGCCGCGCCGCCATCGCCGGCTGCGTTGACATGCCTGGCGGCCAGTGGCAACGAGGCATGCTCCGACGATGCCCTGGGCCGCATCGCGGCGGATCTGGGGGGCGCAGGGCCGCGCGCGCACAAGCCCGAGCGGGCGGCCGACGCCCGCAGAGCTCTCGGGATGGAGCTTCGGCGCGGGCGCTGGCTCGCCATCGAGCGGCGGCTGCGCTTCGCCGTGGAGGAGCTGCCGCGGCGCGGCCGCGCCGTGGGCCGCCTGGTCCGCGTGGCGGTCGGCCGCCCGGCCTGGGCGTCGATGGTCAGGCGTGAGGCGCGAGGGCTTCCCAACGTCACCCATGCCTCCATGGTCTCGGCTGGCGCGGAGGCGCAGCCGCTGCGGCCGGCCGCCCGCGCGGCGGAGTTGTGGCGCGCCCGCTTCCTGCTGCCCTTGCTGGTCGCGGACCTGGCGGCCCCCTGGGCCTCGAGGCTGGTCGCCAGTGACGCCGGCGAGGAGGGCCTCGGGGTTTGCCGCCGGCAGGCCCCGAGCAGTCTCATCGCCCAGCGCGGGCGGTTGCGCGAGCGGTGGCGGTGCCGAGTCGAGGGGGGGGGGGGCCGCGCGAGGGGCGAGCTCTTCTCCCCCCGCCCGCCCGCGCCCCTCCCGGCCCTTGTCGTCGCGCGCCGAGCGCCAGCGGGGCCCGCTCCCACGGACCCACGGCTTCGCCGAGCACGCCGGACAAGGGCATGGACCTCAGCAAGACCACGCCGGAGCTTTTCGAGATCCCCAAGTACGCGCCGGAGGGCGCCCGGGTCTCCGACTGGGCCTCCAACGAGAGCTACGCGGGCTTGCTTAAGGTCTCCGAGGACCCCGGCGCGAAGGAATCTCAGGAGGAACCCTTGATTGTGAAGGTGGTCAACGGGCCCCGGGATGTCGACGAGGTCCCTGCCGGGCTGCTGGGCGCCAAGTCCTGGAGGGGCGTGGTCGCTACTCAGCCTCAGGAGGGCCAGGACATCTTTGGTCTGGAAGTTGACGCTCTCGTGGTGGCCTACAGGCATCTCTTGAGATCATCAGCGTGTCGTGGCAAACGCGTTTTGGCCCTCGCCGATGACATGCCGATGTGTCTAGCCGCGGGAAGGGTAGAGAAGCCTCACCCATCCTACTTGCAGCTGCCGCTTTTGCAGATATGTACGATGTCACTTGCAACTGGGGCCAGATTACACTGTCGGTGGATCCCATCAGAGCGAAACTCCGCCGAAGCTCTGCACTTGGCTTTCAGATTCTGCCGATCGCCCTCGGCCCCGGCGGCCAGCCGCCCGGCATGGCGGCGCGGCGGCGCCCCGCGGAGGCGGCCCGGCCGCCGGCCCCGAGGCGGCCCGCGCGGCCTGCCGCGGCCCGGCAGCCGGCCCTCCGGCGGCCCGCGCGGTGCCCGGCGCTGGCGGCCACCGAGGCGCGCGAGCCACGAGCGGCCCTGGTCAGCCGTCTGCTGGGCGAGCGGCCGCCGCTGGGGCAGTCGAGCGCGCTGGAGACCCTGGCCGCGAGGTCCAGCGCGGAGTCGCAATGCCGCCGGGTCATGCAGGAGTTCGTAGAGCACTGCTCGCGGAGCCACTTGGATTGGAGGGACTTCAGGGAGCTGGATGCCGTCGCGACCGCCATCTTGAACCACCAGTTCGCTCGGGGGGCGCCCTCGAGTCAGGGCTCGCTGCTGCTGGCGTCGCTTGCGCACTTCCTGCCGGCCTCCAGGGCTCGTGGAGGGCCCAGCTGCCGCGGGCCACGAGGAGCTCAAACGCCCGGCAGCGGCGGGCGCCCGCCATGACGGGGGCGCCGCTGCCCATGCCACGCGGCCGTCGCGCTGGCCGGGCTGCTGGCGATCAGTGGGCGGCGGCGCATGGCGGTATGGGTCCTGCTCGCGTTCAACTGCTACCTGAGAACCTTCGAGGCTCCGGGCCTCGCGGCGTGCCCCTGGCGCGCCCTGTGCTGCAGGCGGCCTCCTCGGCGGGGATATCGGCCCTACTGCTGCGCCCCGCCAGCGGGGGTCGACCGGGCAGGGCCAGCCTGTGCAGCGAGAGTGTGGTGATCGACCTCGACCAGCACCTCTGGCCTTTGCTCGCCGGCCTGAAAGGCGCCGTTGGCCTCGACCAGAGATCTGGGACTTCGCGCCCCCGGTCCTGCGCGAGCTGTGCAAGCTGCGCGCCGACCTGCTTCGGCCCCAGGCCCTGAACCCGACGCTGCGCGCGGCGAGGCACGGGGGGGGCGAGCTGGGGCCTCCTCGAGGGCCGCAGGGCGCTGGAACAGACGCAGCGGCATGGTCCTGGTCGCTGGGCGTCGCTGGCCAGCATGAAGCGGCACGCGAAGGAGGCCCACCTGCAGGACGCCGCGACGAAGGTGCCCGACTGGGTCTTCGTCTTCGGCAGGATCGTGCGCGCCCACCTGCGCGAGATTGTCGAGCTGGGGCCCAACGTGGCGCGGTGCCCGCGCCCGCGGCAGCTGCTGCCCGCGCCCGTGCAGGCGTTGATCGCAGCCGGTCTGCCGTAGTTTCGCCCGCCCAGGTCCGGCGCCATCCCTGGGCTTTGCTTGCGCAACAGCTGATGGCTGCAGCAGCATCGGAGGTTCGGCACGTCTCTAGAACTTTTGGCGGGGTTTGGAAAGGCGGCCGAGACTCCGAGGGCTTTTGGGTTCGCCGCCCTCACCCTCGACGTCTTGAATGGGCTGGCTTTCGGAGGACCATCTGGGCCGCGCGCTTGAGAAGCTCATCTTGGGATGGCTCAAAGCTGGCATCACCGCGGGCATTTTCTCGGGGGCCCCTCGCGCCACCTGCCTGGGCCCGGGCCCTCAGGAAGCCGCTCCGTGATTCGTCCTGGCCCATGGGAATGCCAGATTTGAATGAGTCCGAGCGCGCGCGTCTCAAGATCGGAAACGCAACGTTCCATTTCACCAGCAGAGCTGTTTCCCTGCGCCGTATCCTGGGGGGCCCCGTCCTCGCGGAGAACCCCCGGACCTCGGTCTTGCGCTCGGCCCCTAGGCTTGTGAAGCTCGCCTTGGGTGCAGATTCTAGCTTCAGCGCGTGCCATCTCTGTCAGTGCGGGGCCCGACGGCAAAAGGCCACGCGCCTCCAGGGATGGAATGCGTCTAGTCTGCCCCCCCTCAGTTGCAACCGTTCTGGCAAGATGGGCATCTGCTCGCGCGCGAAGCTGCCGCGCGCAGAATTGTCTGGCACCCCTCCCGGAGGCCGCAAGTGGACCAGTCTCGTGGCCGAATGCCTCCCTCGCTTTGCTGCCGCCGCCGCCGCTGTCCTCGGCCACTCGTCTGAACAGGTGCACGGGCCAAGGTCAGCCGAGATGACGCGCGTCTAGTTGCTCTCGGTTGTTTTGGAAGCCCCGTGGGGCCCCGGCCTCAGCGGCCAGGCGACCCGTTTGGGAAAGGGGCAATGCGCCATCGTCTTCGGCTCGCCCGATTTCTGCGTTGAACGACCCCGGTCTCAGATATCTGTGCCTCTTGGGCGTGCGCGCATGGAAAACTGTACCTAGCAGCTTTCGCTGCATGGCCGCCGTTGGAACGCCTGTGCTTGCTCTCTCTCTCTCTCTCTCTCTCTCTCTCTCTCTCTCTCTCTATATATATATATATATGTATATGTATATATATATGTGTGTATATGTTTATGTGTGTATGTATGTATGCATGTGTGTATGTATGTATGTATGTACGTATGTATGTATGTGTGTATATATATATATATAGATGCTCGCCCCCGCCCCCCCCCCCCCCCCCTCCCTGTGATCGACCTTTCCTGTGGTTTCCTTCCGGCGATCAGCATTATTGCAGTGTGTCAGTATCGAGCAGCGCATCGCCGTTGCAAA